CCCTTTGGGCAACTGAAGAGCTTTCCAAACCCCAGCATGACTTTGTGTTACCTCAGCCTGGACCTGACCTGTATCTGCTCATGCCTCAATTTCCTTATTTGTAAAGGAGGCAGACTAACAAATACCTCTTCTACCTAACAGGGTTGTTGCGAACAATAAAACCAGAACAAGGTAATGTATATGAAAATGTTTTATAAATTCTAAAGTAATTTTGTGAGGTAATTGCTATTTTAAACTAGTCTATAATAACTTTGCTCTCCACTACTCAGGAATCTGAGAGGATAGTGCTATTTCATGAAAATTAGTTTGGCTCTTCAACACTTGCCACATAAAACAAAGACAGCCCCAATTTCTTTAATCAAAATGATGACCAGCTTCTAAAAATGAGCCCCATCTTCCCTGAGATCATTCAGAATTAAAATCTGATTGCAAAGAAGGGAAACGTGCAGTGTGTTTGGGTTTGATCCAGAGCCTTTCTGTTCTCTACCCTTCCACTCCCTGCCCACTCTGCTGGTTCAGTGAGGTCTTTGGGGTGATCTTGGGGTGACTCAGTCACATCACTTGCCTTTAAGAATCACAGTTGGGCCTAATGCAACCTCCAGTACTTTGAAAACCAGCTAATTGATGACCTGAGAGAGAAATGATGTGGGTAGGACCTACCACTGAGGGCAGGGTTTCCTAGGTTGGGTCACCACTTATGAGAACAGATGTCCTGGAATGGAGCCACCCTGGGGACAGAGCAGCCGCAGGCAGCCCTGGGGAGCAGGGGACTGGCAGCTCTGCCCACTTGTGGGTCTGGAGCTTGGGGAGTACCCTGCGGTTGGGTCGTCCCTGCAGTGGTGGTGCCCAGCAGGGTCTCCAGTGAGACAGGCTGGAGCCCACACCCTTGCTTGTTCCTTCTCTCTTCCATTTCTATGTTACTTATTTTCTAATCAGTCCTTTCATGGTATGTAAAATATGAGGCTGGTTATTCCCATCACCTGTTATTGTTTTCTGTGGGTTCCTCTTTCCCCAGGTACAGTAATTTCACTATCCCCAGATGAGGGTGATAAGTGTTTGAGGTGCATAACTGTGTCTCATTTCAGTGTCTAGTAGAAGATGGAGAGAGAGAGAGCCCTGGAACCTTTCTGCTCAGTAAATTCATAATTACAGGCTTCCTTGCCTCCCTTCTTGCACACTGGAGAACTGTTGATTGGCGTGTGGGTCCATGAGTGTGTACAGTAAGGCGGGGTGTGTGGCAGGCACACTTCCCCGGTGCTTGGCAGGCTCCGATACGGCGACTGCTGAAAGATCCCTCCAGAGAGTCAGTGGCTGAGCCCTGACCGGCACCTGCCTGTCTGGAATGAGGATAACCAGCCATGCTGGAATTTTATTGTTGCCAGTAATGTTCTGAGAGCTGTGTTAGCCAGCCGGGCATATGGGCCCCAGACGAAGGCCAGGGAGCAGGTGCTGAGCTGGGTTCAGACAAAGTTGGAAGATAGGCTGCAGGTGGTGGTAAGAGCACTGGACTGGGAGTCCAGACACCTGAGCTCAATGCCATCCCCACCTTCAACTCACTATGTGACCTTCTGCAAATCACCTCACTTCTCTGGATCACAACTTCCTTGTCTTTAAAATCAGGGATCGGAAATCGTTAAACCGGATTATCTCTTTCAGATGAAAAGCTTCTAGATTCTTCTCTGATATTTGGATTTGCACAGGCACTTCAAGATGAGCCATCCCGAGTCCTCATCACTCGAACTGAGATGGTGCCATTAGGTACCATCTTGTTATCATAATCCTAACCCTTTTCATCTCATTTCTGTCTTATCGACAAGAACAACAACTGTCATTTAATAAGTATGTACCATGTGCCAGGCCAAAGGCCTTGTGCCAGGTGCTTTCTGTCATTAACGCTTTTTAGAGGTGAATAGTGGTGTCCGCCTGATGGATGTTATCTGCCAGGTTATGCCCCGTGTGTCCCAGGGGCTAGGCTTCCTCCTACAGAGCAGGCGAGGAGGTGTTCCTGGGTGATGTCCTGGGGTTTTTTAGTCTAGAGACTTACATGGATTAGAAAGGGCTTCCAAGTGCTCTATATTCTGGACTCTGGAATTGTGTGTCTCTAGAAAGAATATGGATTTTGCGAGGATGCAAACCTGGGTTTCAGCCCCAACTCTGCCACGTATTAGCCCTTGTAGACCCTAAGTTTCCTCATCTGAAAAACAGATCGAACAACCCTGAACAAGGCAGACAGCTGTATGGATTGAGTGAGGTAGTCAGGGTGCAAGCATGTGCATGGGGCCTAGGTACCACATATGACCCACACATACTGACATTCTTCCTTGCTTCCAGCCCCTCTCTTTGCCAGTCAGAAAACAGATCTTGAGTTTCCACTGGACATTGGGCATGAGCCTGACACTCTGGACTCACCAGTGAGCTTGGTGGGCCTCCCTGCCCCCACAGAGCCCACAGCCCCTGGCCCCAAAGTCAAGTCCTTCTGCAGAGGCTAAATCAAAGTGCCAGGACCCTTCTCTGGGGGCCTGTGCTCTATTCCTTTAAGTTTCTCTCCTCAGTACCATGAAGTTTTGTCTCCACTTCACAGGGATGCCCTGGGAAGGCTCGGGGGTCCTCTTTCCACCCTGTCTCCTGCCTGACCGTGTTCTCCAGACAGACATTCCCTGGTGAACATGCCATTTGATATGCTCGGGCTTTTGCTACACTGACCCCTCCCCTTTCCTTCTGGCCCACGTGTCCTCCCTTAGTCCATGGCCAGTCCCAGATGCCATCCCACAGCCTTGTCCTTGCTGTCTCACCCCAAGGTAGAAGTCTGCATTCCTCATGGGAGCTGCCATCACATAACCTTTCACTGTCTGAGTAATCAGGTCCTTGTGGCATCTACTCAGACCTGGCAGGAAGTTCTTTGAGGGTCCAATCCAGCCTCTGCTGTCCTTGGATCCTGCGGCATTTTGCAAATTCCTTGCATGCCCTGAGCAAACATGTGCCATGTGGGGGTGTGAAAGAAGGTGCCGCACTCGCAGGACTGTTCTGGGCTGTGGGTGTGCAGAGCATTCTCCTCTCTTTTGTTCACTCGACAAGACATGTGGTTTTCGTTGGGATTTTAGCTGACAACGTCATGTCTTTGCTTTCTTCTTTCTTTTCTTGGTCTTCATATAACCTCACTCTCTGTGGCGTGTTCTCTTGCTCCGTGGTCTACCTCTTCCCACCACTTCATTATTGAGGATTTGGGGGTGAACAAGAGAAATTCCACAAAGCAGAAATGCCCCCCAAGTAGGATGCAGACCTGCTTGGATGCCCTGGCTTCTCTCAAACTGGAAGAAATATGAAGCCGTCCTCTTTAATAGAAATAAATGAGACCATTAGGACCAAGAGCAATTTTGTTCCATGGGGAGGTATTTATTTGTTTATTTATTTATTTACTGGACCATTTCTTAAACCATTTGTTCTCTCCCTTTAATGAAAACCTCTCAGAAGAGGCCCCAAGATGGGAGGCAGCCAAGATCTGTCTCATTAAAATGACACCAGGGCTCAGAGCCGGGCCGTGTACCCAGAGGACTTGGTTGCTGCTGTGGTGCAAAGGGATCCCGGATGTGGTTTTAAAGTTTTGACCTCATGCGCCATCTGGCAGTGGGGAGGTACAAAAGAGAAGCATTCCCTGCATAGGTGTAGACCCAGAGGGCTGTGGCTGTAACCGATGGACCCCAATAAAGCATTGTTTGGACTATTCTGCTGCAGATAAACAGTAGCCTGTGCACACCCCCATCTGTCCCAGGCTGGGGTAAACTGAGATGGATTAGCAGTTAAGAATGAGAACCCACTGGGGGTGCCTGTGTGGCTCAGTCGGTTAAGCATCTAAGTTCAGCTCAGGTCATGATCTCACGGTTTTGTGAGTTTGAGCCCCGTGTCGGGCTCTGTGCTGACAGTGCAGTCTGCTTCAGATTCTCTCTCTCCCTCTCTTTCTGCCTCTCCCCCACTCAGGCTGTCTCTGTCTCTCTCAAAATAAATAAACTAAAAAAAAAACTAAAAATGAGAACCCACTGTAGACTTGCATACCTGGGTTTGAATCCACCTCTACCGCTTATAGCTATGCAACTTGTATAACTTCCCTAAGCTACAATGTGGGGATAAAAATACTACTTACTTCAAAGGGAGTACAAATCAGGGTCCCAGCAGCAGACAGTGCATGCAAATTCAGTTATTTGTGCAAAGGTTAATATGGGAACTCTTCACAAAGGGCTCCCTAAGAGCAGAGCAGTATTTCGGAGTAAGAACGGTGAGTCCTGTTACTTCGTATAGGACCAAGTGGGGGCAGGCAGGAAGTGGTTCACAGCACCTGGAGACAGAGAGGCAGCATGGAGAGGCATGCCTGTGGCCGCTGAGACCTGTGGGTGAGGATGGCAGCCCAGCCCCATCCCCCTGTCCCCTCCCCCTCCTGCCAGCCTTCTGCTGATGCTCCCATCTGGCTGTACCTAACCAGGCCCAAGGGTAGACAGTCCACAGATGTAGGGTTCATACAGGCTAGCCTCTGAGGCACAGAAAAGGGTGGAGAGTGGATCTGGAGGGGACAGGTAGAAGATACTCAACTCTGAAGGGTTTGTAAAATGAAAAAAGACAGTCTTTGGAAGGTGCTTGACAGTGACTGCTACAAAGTCAGGCGCTGGATAGCCAGTGGCTGTGCTTCATTGTCACCATCATCACTATTATCATTATTATTCACATTCTTGTTATTGTTGAAGTTGCTCTCCTGGCCCTGCTGTCGCGCAGCCCTGGCTGACCCACGCATGCATGAGGGCCGAGTCCCATGGCCTCCAGCTTCTCCGGTGCAGTTCTCAGTCTCAGCATGTGCAGAGGGCTTTGAGGGGCTAGCCACACAAGCTGCATACCATTGTTATCCAGTATCATATCCTTCCTTTCCCCCATAGGGAGCCTCCACTCCTGAGTCCTGGCCCTCCGAGGAGGCTGCTGTGCCAAGTGCTACCGTGCTGCAAGGACCCATTTCTGAAATGAAAGCCATGCCTTGGAACTGGACTTGCCTGCTCTCCCATCTCCTGATGGTGGGGATGGGCTCCTCCACTCTGCTCCCCCGGCAGCCACCCCCACTCTCCCAGAAGCGGTCTTTTGTCACGTTCCGTGGGGAGCCAGCTGAGGGTTTCAACCACTTGGTGGTGGATGAGAGGACAGGACACATTTACTTGGGGGCCGTCAACCGGATCTACAAGCTCTCCAGTGACCTGAAGGTCTTGGTGACCCACCAGACAGGACCGGATGAGGACAACCCCAAGTGTTACCCACCCCGCATTGTTCAGACGTGCAATGAGCCCCTGACCACCACCAACAATGTCAACAAGATGCTCCTGATAGACTACAAGGAGAACAGGCTCATTGCCTGTGGGAGCCTGTATCAGGGCATCTGCAAGCTCCTCAGGCTGGAGGACCTCTTCAAGCTGGGGGAGCCTTTTCACAAAAAGGAACACTACCTGTCGGGAGTCAACGAGAGCGGCTCCGTCTTTGGAGTGATCGTCTCGTACAGCAACCTGGATGACAAGCTTTTCATCGCCACAGCAGTGGACGGCAAGCCAGAATACTTCCCTACCATCTCCAGCCGGAAGCTGACCAAGAACTCAGAGGCAGACGGCATGTTCGCTTATGTCTTCCATGATGAGTTTGTGGCCTCGATGATTAAGATCCCTTCAGACACCTTCACTGTCATCCCTGACTTTGATATCTACTATGTCTATGGCTTTAGCAGTGGCAATTTTGTCTACTTTTTGACACTTCAGCCTGAGATGGTGTCTCCGCCAGGCTCCACCACAAAGGAACAAGTCTATACATCTAAGCTTGTAAGGCTGTGCAAGGAGGACACTGCCTTCAACTCCTATGTGGAAGTGCCCATTGGCTGTGAGCGCAGTGGGGTGGAGTATCGCTTGCTGCAGGCCGCATACCTGTCCAAAGCTGGGGCTGTGCTTGCCCGGACCCTTGGAGTCCGTCCGGAGGATGACCTCCTTTTCACTGTCTTCTCCAAGGGCCAGAAACGGAAAATGAAATCCCTGGATGAGTCGGCCCTGTGTATCTTCATCTTGAAGCAGATTAATGATCGCATTAAGGAGCGACTGCAGTCCTGCTACCGGGGTGAGGGCACACTGGACCTGGCCTGGCTCAAAGTGAAGGACATTCCCTGCAGCAGCGCGGTGAGTCAGGGGAAAGCCTGGGGATGGCGTGGCATGGCAGGTGGACACCAGCCTGCGGTTTCCATGGGATCTGAATCACCCATCCCATTTTGCAAATGGGACAAATACATCTCTGGGTCTCACTGGATTCAGATCAGCACCAGCTCAAATGTGCTATGGCTATGGCACTGAGCTTATGAGAGCTGGAGCTGGGGATGCAAGGTAGATTTCCTATCTGATACTTTTTTCTATTCCATATTGGCTTATAGTTCTCAGAAGGCATGCTAGAAATAGGTGGAAATTGCGTTCCATAGATGTCATATGCACCAGGCATTGTTAAGACTCAATTATTGTGTCCTGTGGTACAAGACATGTATTGATCTTTCTTACTGACCATGCCTACAAATCACTTTCCTGGGAGCTTAGAATAAAACCATTACTGGGAGTAACGGAGCCAGCCATTCTGTGCTTGGGATAGATCTAGGACTTTAGGAGCATCACGTTTTTGTCCCTTGAGTATCTTAAGGAAATGGCAAAATGAGAGCAGAAGTAGGGTGGGAGTCCAGTGAACCCATAGGTGAAAGCAGAGCTTGCTTAGAAAACTGCATTTATGGGGCACCTCAATGGCTTAGTTGGGTAAGTGTTTGACTCTTGGTTTTGGCTCAGGTCATGATCTCTTATTTTGTGGGATCGAGCCCCACGTCAGGCTCTGTGCTGACAGTGCAGGCCTATTTGGGATTCTCTCTCTCTGCCCCCACCCTGCCACTCTCTCTCTCAAAATAAATAAGTAAACTTACAAAAACTGCATGTATTAAGCATCTTCTGTGTGCACTGTTCCATGGAAGAGATATGACAAGCAGCCTTAGAACAGTACCAAGTGGCAAAAGTGCTGAAGGAAACCAGAGGAAGGGGAGAATGAAGGGCTGGTTTAGAAGACCTTCCCAGGGACAACAGGTGACCCACCCTCCTGCCTTTCCCAGCCTAACTCATTTGTGACCCGGCTTGCTGTGGCCTGACATCTGTTCATCTTTAAAATGCTCTAGTTTTTTCTCATTGTTCCAGTGACTTAGAAGTCTCATTTATGAGCATCTTCCATGCTCTGTGTCCCTCTCCTTTCCCCCTTTTGTTTTTTCACTCACTTAAAAATGTAGTTTGAAAAAAGTCTATCCTAGAGAGAAGAAAGGAGAATTCACACACAGGTAGAGTATGTGTTGGCACAGATGTTATTCTTGACTGCTAGGCCAACTTTGGTGCAATTCCACATTAGGAAAATGTATTTTGATTGATTTAAAAAGTTTAAGTCTCCCTTCACAAAATATGGCTACTTGCCAAGTCCATTTCAGAGGGTGCTGGCACCCAGGAAGCTTGTGGGGGGGGGCTGTTTCTGTGGGCACTAGGACTTGAGCTGGGGTAGGGGAGATGGAGGAGAAGGAAGGGACTTGACAAGGTTTGCCTTTGATGCTCTAGCATTTAGGCTCACACTGTTTTCCAGTGGTGAATTTTCTAGGTACCTGGGCTGAAACTAAAAGATGTCATTTCTTTCGGAGATCCTGAGAAGCCTAGTGTCACGAAGCAAATGGGAGAGGCCAGAGAAGGAAGCAACGAGTTGACAATCATAGCCAGGCCAGAGAGTGGAGGGGACTCCACTGTACCTGCTGAGCACTAGTGAGTGGCATATCTTTCGGGGCCTTTGGTTTAGGGCAGTGGCTGATCCACTCAGTAGAGTTTTTCCTGAGAAAAAACAGGTTTATGAACCTGGGGGCCATGGACTTCTCCCAAATGCAGTCTCTAAAGGTCAGGTGCTATACTGTGTGTACATATATTCCAGACTCAAGGACAGCTCCCTGGGGGGATACAGTAGGGATTAGGCATGGGGAAGGAAGTCCCTTAGAGACCCTGTGGTCTGTACCTTCATTCTGAGGACCAATGAGATGAAGGAACTGCCCAAAGTTACATAGTTTGGGAAGGAATGGCAGACACAGCACTCCCTTTCCTCTTAAGGAAAATCACACTTGCACACATGCATGCACACACATGCATACCTACACATGCGTGTGTGCACATGTACAATGAATACCCCCACGAGCATGCACACATGCATGCACACCCACCCTATGTTCGAAAGTGTAAGTTTAGGCAGTGTGCTTACTAAACAGCTAGTTCTTTTGAGATCAGACAGGTTGACTATTTTTTTCCGTAGATGCTTTTCTGTAGAAAACTGGCTCAGATTCTGTCTTTCCGGGTGATGCTTTTGGGAGTAGACTCAGCTGCAGGGATCAGCCTGGCTGCCCATGGGCAGGTGTTTGTCCCGCCCTCGCTCCTTGCCACAATACAAAAAGCAAAGTTCATCATGGAAGTCTGCAGAGCTGCAGGTCCTGAAACCTCGTGGTGGCCTTGAAGAGAACAGAGAGACGACAGCTTTGCAAGACAGCCTAATGCCAGGGCTGGGAGTCATGGAGCCAGATAATAAGCTTTTGATTTTTCTTTGGGCTTTAATTAGCCCTTTCAAGTTCGAGGCAAGTTCAGGGCTGAGAGCAGAAAGGAGAAGGCCAGAAACTCCACACCAGGCTGGGCTGTCTCCCCAGCCAGTATAAAAGGCCACGCCAGCTTGTAATGTCAAGTATCAGTTTCCTCTGATTCGGCCGACGCTCGGATTACTTTGCTCCAGTCCTCAGGTGCTCGGCTACAATTCATTTGGCCCCAGTTCAGACCACACATGTTCCCCACACGTCAGCCGGGCCAGCCTCCTGGGCCTCCCCAGGGAGGAGTCCTCGTGGGCACACCGCTTGCAAACGCAGCTTTTCCTCCACCCATTCACGTGGCTGTTGGGTTCCTTTCCTCCCTCCCTTTCCTGCCTTGAGGCGAAGATGGGCTATAGGAATCTAGAGTTCTCTTTTGCCTGTGAGTCCAAGATTCCCTTGAGGCATGTGAGGCGGGATGGACTCTCAGATGGTCTCTGTCCTGCAGCATGCCCTTTATAAGGCCGCAGTGGTGGGAAGCCCAGGAGAGTGACTTTTAAGACTTGTGTTTTGTAGGCTAAGGGATTCCCTGCGGGCTTCATCATAATTACAATCCATAGAGCTTGAAAAGGTATGATTAGTGGTTCATTTTTTTAATGAAGATATAATTGACATACAACATCATATTGGTTTCAGGTGTACAACACGACGATTCAATATTTGTATGTCTTACAAAGTGATTGCCACACTACGTCCAGTTATCCACACACAGTTACACCTTTTTTTTCTTGTGATGAGAACTCTTAAGATCTATTGTCTTGGCAACTTTCAAATCTACAATACAGTACATCAACTATAGTCGTCATGCAGTACGTTACATCCCCAGGTCTTATTTATTTTATAGCTGGAAGTTTGTACCTCTTGGCCAGTGATTCATTTTTATTGTGTTCCTATTTTCCTAATTCCCTAAGGTAGAATGCTCATCCCACGGTATTCTTCAGGGTTTTCTGGCCCTTCCCATTTCTTGGGATCCACATTCCTTCCCCTGAACTCAGGCTTCCAGAACTCAGAGCAGGAAGCAATATAAGCAAGCCCTGGGGCCTCTGGTTTGCTTATGTCCCAGCTGCCACTTTGCCTGTGTGCAGGAAAGACAAGGTGGGGTGGGGAGAGGACATCTGTGTGACTCGGCGTGCCATGCCATGGAGTGATCATGGAGCCATGTGGTGGGCCACAGCCTGGTGACCAGAAGCAGTGCGTGAGGCAGGATCCTCAGTCTGCAGGCCCCCAGAGAGCTCCCCATTGTTTTGATTTTATTCCAGGTGAATCAGGGAAGGGTGGTGAGCTCACACCAGAGATAAGGGCTGGCAGGCCCAGAGTAGCCTCCTCATGGGTATGTAAATACATATCACAAACAAATCTCTGAGTGGGTGTTGGGCATAGAGGCTGCCCAGGTGTTTTCTGATGCTTGTGGGAGATGGAAGTAGATTCCCCCTTTGCCTTCTAGGCCATTCTTTTCCTGTGTCCTGGTTTTCCCAGCCTGAATGGAAAGATGTATCCAAGAACAAATGGTCTATTGTCTGAAAATCACTTTACAGGTCTCAGGAGGACATAGGCAGAAGGAGGGTCCTAGAAGCATCGGCTGGGGGTCCCCTTGTATCTCGGGATCAGCGGACGAAAGACCAACCTGAGGTCCTTTGCTTCAGAGCATGCAGGAGGGTTAACACTAATGATGTAATCTCTGTTTCTGCCACTCAGCACTGGGAGGGTCTCTGTCTTTCCCTTTTGAAGGCGGTCATGTCACCCAGGGTCCCCAAACCCTTGTCTACAGAGCACAAGATGATTGGCATGAGGAGCCCATTGCCTCTGGCTTCTGTCATGTGCCATGCCCCTGAGCAGACCAAGGTGACAGCTCCCAGCCCTTTCCTGGGAGCCCTGACACTCCTGACCCAGAGTCAGGGCAATGAGGCTGGGGAGTGTGTTGTGAGCCAAAGCTCTTGTGTTCACATGGGCCAAGTGGCCTGGCCTCCCAGATCCCCCAAGCAAGCTATCTATGCCTTTCTTTGGCCTTCTGGAGTAACCTCATGGAACACTAACCCTTCCACTTCCAAGTTAATTAATGAATGGGTGAAACATTTGTCAGGCCCTTGGTAAGTGCTTCCTCTTGGTGGCTGCCAGTCATGAAATGACATCAGTCTCTAGGGACCCAAGAGTCCGGGAGAGACTGCAACATAGCAGGTGATTATGGCCTGTGTGATGGGAACAGTGGCTGTGGTCATGGGACAGGTCATTACTCATGCCACTAAATCTTCCCTGAGTTTGGATCCAACTGAGAAGTGGACATAGGAGCCAGACAGTGTCAGCTTTTGTGCTATGACCATAAGGTCATATGGGGCAAAAATCAGATTTTTAATCTTCCCCTCAAAACTTGAACTTCAGTGACCTTCCAATGCAAAATGTAGGTGCTTGGGACAGAAACTATTATCCAGAATCATTGCCTCCTGGTCACGTGACGCCTGGTCATGTCTCAGTAGTGGGGACAGAGAGTGGTGGCCTCTGGGCTGC